TTGTATAAATCTTTGTATATAATTTTTATATATATTGTCTTTTGTTCTATTGATTTTCCCACCAATAAGTAGGTTTATCTATCCTTAATGTGGTTGAAAATTTTTACCTTCGATCTAATCGTCCTTATCATATAATTCTATTTTCGACTATCATATTTTTAATAGATGTTTCTTTTGTTGTCCCTATAGCATACACATCACTTTGTCTATCATTCATAGTTTTATTACACATTCATCTTAACATCTTTTATATTATTAGACTCAAGTTGGTTATCATAGATTTTTTTTTTACTGCTCAATATTCAGATTCATACAAAGCACTCGGGTAAATGAAAATTTTATGAAATATATCATCTAGTCTTCATGACATGCCCTAATTGCAACATACTCTTTAAGCAATATTGCAAATATCTGTTTGACGTGTGGGCGGGCTTATGCGCACGTGTGTGTGGAGTGATAAAGTCGTTTCCTGTTACAATAAAGTGGTCAAAGAGTTTCCATTTACAATAGAATCATATGAAGTATCAACATTGAGTGCATATTTTATTTGTATTGCTTATGACAGTGCTTTGAAAGGATATTCAAAATTTGTTATCGTGCTATGTGCTTTTTATATATATCATAATTCTAGCTAATGTGATATCTATTAAAACCAAGTGTGAATAAAATATGTGGAAGATAGAGATATTAAAATTAATAAATTCAAGTCTAAGTATATAATTATATAATTTTAATAGGTGTGATGTTAACAAGTATCCGACAATATTATTAAATGACAAAGTAATACCTAAGTGGGATATATTTACATATTTGGAATCTATTGTACAGAAAAATAAGGATATAAAAAGAGAAAATGATCAAAATGGCCCCTCAACTCCTTAAAAAGAGTCTTTTTGGTACTAACATCAAATTTTGGGGTTAATTGTGTTAAATCAAAAGGTGTTTTAGTCATATTAAATTATTTATTAAATATAATTTTCAAGTCATAGTAATTAAAAAAAATTATTAAACATTTCTTTAATAAAAAAATTATTAATAATTTTAGTTTTAATTTCAAAAGTTATTAATTATTATAGTTTTAATTTAGGATCATTATAGACTTCAGCTCACAAAGAGCTAATATCTAGTCTAGAATATCATTATGATCCATTCTTAATCTCTCGTGCCACTAAGGACGTGGCACATGTCCTCTAACCGGTAGTTTCGCCGCCAAATGGTATGACACCGTGGAATATGCCATCAAATGGTGCCATAAGTAAACGATTATAACCGGGACCCTTTGAACCGGATGGTTCGTCGTGAAATGACACTATTATATTACGGTCATGGTCAGAGCTTGTATGCTCACCAATGAAATTAAAACCTTGAGATATGAATCAATGGAATATGCTTGATATGACACAAAGCCCTCTATCAGCTATGGTGGATTTAAATTTGACGTGAAACATGTATGAAAACAAGAATTGCTTTGGAAATTAATAATAATTTGAAAAAAAACTTTGCCAATTGTAAACCTTATGTTTCACCAAGTTATATTACTGAATTTTCAATTAGAAGCTATGTAATAGCATACGGTTACAAATGATATTAAAAGGATACTTGCAAATAACAACAAAATAAATAAGTAAAACTAACGGCATTGAATAACAAAAATCCATGGCTTAACAATTAGAAATGTTCACCTTGAGTTCCCTAACCCTCGCTCATGAAAGTAGTGTCTTAGCGGAGGTAGAATATAAGTAACCCTAGTGATGCCACTAAGAGACAAGTGACGCTTATGGTATAGCTCGCCAGAGAAGTAGCCAGAGTAGAAGAAGTCGGTGGACGGTGACCAATATCCCAACGGATTGATGCAAGGCGTTGATCGGTGGTGGCGGATAGTTAGTACTTAGTAGAGAATTCTGTTCACGTATTTTTCCACGGATTTGTCAAACTCCAAATTGAAATCAAAGAAAGTTAATCGTGGGATGTCGACGAAGCCTTCTTGATCGTAACGAAGCCGGAATCAAACTCTCGATCTGCCATCCATGGGCAAAGATATCTCCTCCTGCAGTCCTGCTTGGGGACCCTTGAAGGCTGGCGGCTTATGGAGGAGGGAGAGGGGAAGCCGGCGGTTTGGAGGGGCTCGGATAGGGGAAAGGGGCTTTGGTTGTGGGTTGAAGCTCCTTGGACTTAGGTTAGTAAATAGAAAGGAGAATAGTTTTGAAAATCTGAAATTTAATTTCAAATTTCCTAAAAGGAGGGAAGGATTAATTTTGAAATTCAAAATCATCCCAATTAGGGTTGGGGGGGGGGGCATATGAGGAGGAAAAATAAGTGTCTAGGTTCAATTTATGTGGGTCATATGCATTAATTGGAGATTGGAATTAAATTTGAATTTAATTTCAAATTTAATGTAATTGGGAGGCTTCCTAATTAAGGATTATCAAAGAGGAAAGCATTTGAAATTCAAATGGAGAATTGATCTCAAATAAAAACACTTTCCAAATTGATATGAGCTATTAGAAAGGTAATTAATGGAGGTTTGAATTTTGAAATTCAAAATTTATGGAGGGAATTTGGAGGGGCGGCCGAATGACTAGAGGAGCCAATGGGATGCTAGCGGCTATGGGGTTTGGAGGGTCGGTCGGCTGCTAGGGGAGCCAAGGGAGGCCGGTGGCTATGGAGTAGGTAGGGGTTCGATTAGGGAAGAAGAGAGGGGAAAGGTGGTGGTAGGGGAAATCAAGAGGAGGCCGACGATATGGGGGAAGAAAGAAGAAAAAAATTAGGAAGAGAATAGAAGAAAGGTAGAACCGAGAGCCCAAACCTTTCGGTGGCTGTCGGGTATTACGTTGGCCCTCTCTTAGGGTTCTCTCTTCTCTCCGAAGCACACAAGCACAAGAGCAAAGAAAAGCTGAATTTTTTTATTGATTCATCATTAACCTCATACAAAGCAAAGACCTCTATATATAAACCTCAATAATAAATAAAAGAAGAAAGACTCAAATGCCCTCGATGCTACAACAATAACTCACTATTCATAGGGGTAAAATAGGAAAATTGAAATGCAAATTAAACAAAACATAAAATACATCAAAAGTAAAGGCTCTGAATCATAGCCGTCGATTTACAATTTCTCCGATGATACACATGTCGAAACCTCTGGCTGATGTCCTCATCAAAATTTGTCCCCTTAGACAAACATCCATCCCAAGTCTACAAGGTACCTTGGACGACACAACCCATAGCTGCTGATAAGGATCCTTCTGTTAGGTTGGGTCGACTACCTCCTCTAACTAAGTAGACCAGGGACCACGATGACCCATAACGACTGAACCATGGGATCTTGATCAGGCTCATCATCACCCCCCACCAGCAGTTTTAAGTGCAAGATGTTGAAATTTCTAATTTTAAATAGTAAATCTTCAAACACCTAAACCAATGCTGCTACTATATGTCATATATTGTATCCATGGGTACGACGTATTCATCGACGACTACCCTTAATCGAAAGTTCTCTCTCTTTATCGGGAGGGGTAATTAACTATAGGGGCTTGAGCCTATAGGAAACCAGAACTCGAATCATAAAGTCCTTGCAAAATGAGGTCGAAATCTCTGGGTAGTGTCTTATCTACAAATCTAATCTGCCTTCTAAAAATTTACCTCGGAACTTGATTCGTTAAAACTCCCCCCAAAAGCAAAAAGCCGAAGCAAGGGGAGGCTGGGGGCGAATTTTTGAAGTCCGCATCAACTCATGGACTATTTTGAATCAAGTTTGAGGAGTCAACGGGCTAAATTGAATACAATTATAGTTTGGAACTATATAACCCTACATAAATAGTATTTTCTCTTTCTTTTTTCATTCCTTACAATGTTATCATTTTATGTCATATAGCAAATGTCTCATGATCAAGTAATTATGGAATACGGAATACAACTCAACAACATTATACAAAACTTGTCAGTCTTGCTAATCATTAATCTGGCAGCTTCTGTCCACTCCTCTCTAAGATTCAGAACTGGCCAACAGTCGAATCAGCATGGACCTTATACCAAAAATTTGGGTTCCAAAAGGACCGAATTATTTCCTACCTCTAACTCCCGAGTTTGCTGTTTAGTGAATGACCTTTTGATCCACATTTTCATGTTTATGAGCACGATTACAGTAATTCCTTTTTTCATAGTTTACCTTCTGTGTGTTTAAAAAAATTCTAGAGATTCAACAATACTAAAAGAGCAGAAAGTTTTACCCTACAACACATGCGAGAGAACCGATTTTAAAGAAGTGTGGTACTTCACCATGAATGTTAATGTAAATGATGTAGATATGCCATTTTAGAGCTGCTATTGTTTGCGTGAAGGAGGCAATCACATAATGTATTTGCTAATTTATATATTCCGTTGAAAATTGGGCTCACTGCTTTATAACATGCCTTGTGAACAGTAATGAGGACCATTTTTAACTTGGTTATTTTGTTTGTGCAATAATAAAATAGTGATTGAATTATTAATCATCAAACTCACCATGCATTATATTTCATTGTATTGTTCATCTCAAAATTTTATTTTCTTAATGAGAGTGAGGATTTTAGTTTGAGTTCCATGGAGTGAGTTCTTCATTCTGTGGGATGAATTTTGTTAACCTCTAACTACTAAATGCTGTGGTGCAAACTGATTGCTTCTTTTCCTTTTGTTTCTTGTTCTTGAAGTCATTACATTTTATGTGAGGTTGTGATTGATTGGGTGGTTGGGATGAGAGTATTTCCTTTTATTTTCACATGCGCTCACTCTTGCTCCCTTTATTCCCACTGGCTATTTCCTTCGGCGAGGTTGTAAATTGCAATCAAAATAATCTTTCTGCATGATAGATTATGTATCTCTATTGCCCGGGGCGAAACAAAAATAAATGCGTAACTTGAGTTTGTGCTTGAAGGCTCATAAAACATCTTTTCTGCCAGTGATTTCTCTTTTTCCCATATTCATCTAACATATTCAGAAATTGGGAAATGGGTGGAATGCAGGTTACCCTTACAATTTAGACTTCGATTATGGCGCTTTATCCCAGCTGCAACACTTTTCCATTAATAATCTAGGAGATCCCTTTATAGAGAGCAACTATGGTGTACACTCAAGGCAATTTGAAGTTGGGGTTCTAGATTGGTTTGCTCGTCTTTGGGAACTGGAAAAGAATGAGTACTGGGGTTATATCACAAATTGCGGTACAGAAGGGAATTTGCATGGCATACTTGTTGGGTAAGCAAACCTATCTCTACACTTCTTCTTTGACATCTTCCAAATAGCGTTTTGATGTTGGAAAAGGTTAATGCATGTGAGCTGAATTACATGGAATGTACACACGTTAATTGATTCTGCAGAAGGGAAGTTTTTCCTGATGGGATACTGTACGCCTCAAGAGAGTCCCATTACTCAGTTTTTAAAGCTGCAAGAATGTACAGAATGGAGTTCGTGAAGGTTGCCACTCTGGTCTCTGGCGAGATCGATTGTGCAGATTTTGAAAGAAAATTGCTTCTTAACAAAGAGAAACCTGCCATTGTTAATGTCAATATTGGTAAAGCAATCCTCATCCTCTCCCTTTTTTGCTCCATTTCGCTGCATGAATTTAGCTGATATTTGAATTTGACGCAGGAACAACGGTAAAAGGAGCAGTCGACGATCTTGACATGGTTATTGAAACACTAGAAAAATCTGGATTTAGAGACCAATTCTACATCCACTGTGATGGTGCCCTATTTGGTCTCATGATGCCTTTTGTTAAACGTGTATGTTGTGATTCTCTCTCTCCCCGCTTTTACATTTGAATGATCATACTTAGGGCATCTCCAACCGAAAATCTCATTTTTCACTCCAAAATGCCGTGAAACTAAAAAATGCCACAATTCATCTCCAATCGAACTCCATTTTTCCCCTTCTACGAAGGTAACGGTCGTTGGCACGTTTCTTGAGCAATTTCGGTAGAGACAAGAAAAATGACGAAGATGAACAGTGCAACGCCAATATTGGCGTCCCACCGTTCATCCGCAACCAAATAGCATAAGTTTTACCGTTCTGCTGGAGCTCGCAAGCGACGCTATTCAAGCGTTGGAGTTCGGTTAGAGATGCCCTTAGGAAACATTTCTTCAAATATTTTTTTCGTGCTAATATATTTCTTGAAGTGAACAGGCACCGAAGGTCACTTTCAAGAAGCCTATAGATAGTGTCAGTGTTTCCGGCCACAAATTTGTGGGATGTCCAATGCCCTGTGGGGTGCAGATCACCAGATTGAAGAATATCAACGTCCTATCAAATAATGTGGAGTACCTTGCATCGAGGGATGCCACCATCATGGGCAGCAGAAATGGCCATGCTCCCATCTTCCTCTGGTACACTTTGAACAGGAAAGGCTACCGTGGCTTTCAAAAGGAAGTTCAGAAGTGCTTGAGAAATGCTCACTATCTAAAAGACCATCTTCTTGAGGCAGGAATAAGTGCCATGCTGAACGAGCTCAGTAGTACTGTGGTGTTGGAGAGACCTAAAGACGAGGAATTCGTTCGAAGGTGGCAGCTTGCCTGTGAAGGCAACATCGCCCATGTGGTCGTGATGCCGAATGTAACCATTGAGAAGATTGATTATTTCTTGGCTGAGCTCGTCAAGTCTCGCTTGAGCTGGTATGGAGATGGTGAGAGCAAACCTCCATGCATTGCGGGAGATGTTGGAGAGGAAAACTGCCGCTGCTCTATGCACAATACCTGATGCTTTAGAATTGCCGGTAGTATCATAAACTTTTGTAGTTAATGCTCTGCAGTTTTAAACACTTTCATGGTGTTCTTATTGCTAGCGTTATTATAGGAGGATCTTCAGAATGTTTTATTGGTGCTAAGCGTTGAATGGACGCCGGTTTATTCCTTGGAAGCTTACCAGGTAGAGTACAATAATTAATTGATTGAATTGCGACGTGCCTTTTCATTTGTTCCAGTTTGCTTTTGGAAAGAAGTATGGTCGGGAGTTCGGCTTATTTCTTTGTTTGGCATCCATGTCAACTTTATTTATGCTAAGTCTGCTCTAGCACTATTTATTTATTTATTTATTATTATTATTTTGTTTGAGTAAATCATTATAAGTCGTTTAGCAACGTTCCGTTTTGAGCTAAATCTTATGGTGTTTGAATTCTCTTAATGCTTCCAAGACCAGGCGTCCAAACATCTACAATGAATGGAATATTTCAGATTTAAAGTTGAACAATATGTGATTTCCAAAGAAAACGAGTTAAATCAAACCCAAACATCTAAAATGAATTGAATATTTCAGATTTAAAGTTGAACCATAGGTAATTATTATAGAGAATTTTTGTTATATTTCGTTAATTAAAATTTGATTATGATGAATTTTAAAAATAGTATATTCAATCAAAATAAATTTAGAGGTTGTTTAATTTGAAGTAAAATAAATGTAAAAGATTTTACATACATTTTCGAGAATATTTATATTTAATTTAAAGTAAAATAAATACATAATTTTTTATATATTTCCAATCATATTTTGCCGACGGCTGACCACTGTTAACCATCCACCATCACCACGAGCCTTCATTCCTTTTAAAGGCAACCAATGCATTTATTTTATACTCATTCAAACAACTTCAAAACACTTCAAATATTTTACATTCTTTTTATACTAAATTATTTTCATTCAATCAAATAACCCCTTGCTAATTTTAAAATTTATCATATTAATATTCAGTTAGGATATTTTTATCCAAATTTTTTCCTAATTGATGAGAATCATACATAAATCATTATGACAAAGATCATGAACCAAGAATAAATTTGCTGTCTGCATCATGCCTCTTCTCCATACCATTAAACGACAATAGGACCAAAAGAAAAAATGATCTATATATGGCTCTCAAGTAATTGGCTACGCCGTTTAGTTTGATGGAAAAAAGAATATAGAGTAAAAGAAATGCATATAAGAATTTAAAAAAAAAAAAGACTGGAAAGTAAAACTTAATAACACTTCTATTTAAATGAAGACGTTGGTGATCATTTACTTTCAATACAACAAAGACTGCACCTGCTCCACGAGGCCAAGCATGCAATTGCACAAACACATCTATATAAGAAAATAAAGGCTACATTAACAAATTAATTATAAAGGAAGCACACCAACAACTAGATAATATAATTATTAAGGACATCTGCTTGTTGTCATACAAATAAAATCTTAAACTATAATATATTTATGCAAATGACTGCATTTCCCTAAGAAGCACCAGAAGGCATAATCCGATTTACATTTCACATGTAATATACCAACTTCAGCTGATTCGGAAAAAGTGGGTAATTCTTCAACATTTGATTCACCACTATTACATTATGTCCATAGAATCGTTGCCACTCCGATCATTGAACGCTAGACCGTTCGATGGTGTCTGTGGCTGAGATGAGCTATGATGATGAGCTCGATTGTTGTTAATGGAAGCTGAATGTAGCTGTTGAGCCTGATGACCACCCTGGTTTGGGAGCTGCTGTTGATGAGAGAAGAAAGGCGAAGCAGATTGCTGGAATCCTCTGTTAAATGGGTTCCCATTTACGTTCGGTATCTGTCCAGTTGCTATTTTGAGCCGCTGAACTTCCTCCCTTAATGCCTCATTCAAAGCTGTAAAGGTTCAAATTATAATCTCTAACAAAAACTTCAAGTGACAAGGGTATTACTGAACTGAGACTGGCTATCAATCTGATAGGTCGGTTCAGGAACCAACCCAGCCGGCCCCACATGGGCCAACCATTGTTTACAAGAGGCGGTTCGAACCGCCTCCCAAAGACCTTGCTGCCTATGCAATGGGGCCCACGGCCCTATTTGGTTGCCGTCCAAAAGAAGTGGGGTCCACTATTTAAATTAATCTATTTTGGGAAAGGAGGGGGCAGCTAAGGAGGTTTGAATTAATTTATTTGAATTAATCTATTTGGGAAAGGAGGTGGGCGGCTAAGTCTATAAAAAGACATAAGAAGGGAGGGTTAGGGTATGCTTGAATATTGTTTTCTCTTGGAGTCTCTTGGGTTTCTTGGGCTCTACACTTAGTGTCTAGAGATTGGGAGAGAATGATCCCTCTCGAATAGAGGATCAATTATATCTTTGCTTATGTTGCTTTGTTTTGAGTTATCTAATAAAATCTACTGTTTTTTGGTTGTTTCTGGATTATTTTGTGTTCTTCTCGCTGTTTTTGCCAATTTAGTGTTAGGATTGCTTGCGAACTCAAGTATTTCCTATCACAATCATAATTGTTGGAACAATGCCCTCTATCTCTAGTAAAATATGATGGCCATTTGCATCTAATTCATTTCAATCATCAAAAAGGTTATTCTGTGTATGCATTTACACCACTGCTGCCAGTATTAAGTACTAACATTTGGTTTAACTGATTCCCAGAATGAAATTTTAAGGAAATAGCAATGAAATAAGAGGCGAAGTTAAGCGCCACTGGTTAAATGCTGAGAAGCAACAAACTAAAGTTTGCGAAAGAAAGCAAAGTATGGTGCAAAATCTGATGCAACTATTTGTTCATAAATCCTATGCAAATGTTCATTAGCTTTTGTTGTCAACCAGAGTCAAGTATAACTCGTAGGTTAACACAAAATAATCAAGCGAAGTTGAACTTACCATCCCGGAGATGAGCCTGCTGTTCCATCGACTGCAGCCTCAACTTCAGCTCCCTATTCTCAGTCGTTAAACCAGTAGTGTCCCTCTGCAGTGTAAATAACAAAAGCATCACCGGTTTGAGTATTTATCATCTTAATAAGAAATTCATGCAATTTAGGGCTGATGCACAACGATATAGATCTTGTAGGTGCTACGCAGATACTCTGACAAAAATGATTATAATCAATACTTAATACGAGAAAAGCAAGAGCAGAATTCAAAGATCTAAAGAGGAATACTCGAATACATATCTAGGAAGAAAACAACCATTATGGTATTGGCATAATTCAGCCAAATCAAAAATTTCCTTCCCCTGCAATGGCTTCTTGCTTCACCATAACGCCGGTGTTCAAAATAAAATTGTGGCCGATCAAAAACACCAGTATACAACCCCACGCCCTCCAGATTCTTAACAATTTACCTACATGCTGTCATTCATTCAGGAATGTTATTTACATCCGCTATAATTATACCCCACAACAATCTTCGTGCCCTTCCTAATCATTCTTTCACTTAAAGCTGCACTAACCTTTTTTCTCTCATATGACGCTTTGCAACAAAAACTAGTTTGAGCTGAATTTTTTTTTTCTTTGGTTATTGTTCCTAATTCAGGTGGTTAAAAAATATAAACAAAAATTTTACATTAGTATTGTTATAAACTCTCACGCACAAGTTTAAAAAGGCGTCCTTCTGATGACCCGGTTAGTAAAGTGGATGTATTAGATTTGACTTATGTTAAGAAAGATAGAGGCAGACCTAAAAAGATTTGGTTAGAAAATATTAGAAATAATCTTTCTTTATTAGATTTAAATGAGAATTTGACTTTTAATATGACACAATGGAGAAAAATAATTCATGTAGCCGACTCCACGTAGTGGGATAAATGTTGATGTTGTTGTTGTTGTACTCATTCTTATCAAGTGTTTCCTAAGATATTAATATATACTTCACAAATAATTTTAAACAATTTCTAGCTATTTTTAGTCAATTTCTTCTTAATCCCATGACCTTAATTTTAACTACACATGCAGTGTATTTTTTATTCTTTGTTGCACATGTCCAACCAACCATATCTATATTTAATTACCTATATTAAAAAGATTTCACCCAAAACATTTCTCTTAATATAATTATTCCTCAATCTAATCCTCTTAATTTGGCACATATTCATCTAAACATTTTTATTTAATGAAGACCATGGTTAAACCAAATTTTATATGATCCAGTGGATCCATCATGCAACCCATCTTAATATGATCTATTAAGCAGACAAATTGAAGAGCTTAGCCGTTGGATCTTCTCTCCCTTAATCATTATATTGCAACCCATTGCTCCTCTCCGTTCACCCAACTTCTGACCCTATTTTAGATTTTATTTATATTTATTTTGTGTACATTATATTTATTTTTTCATATGTAATATAAACATTATCGTTGTCAGGCCAAAGTCTTGGATGAGAGAAGTAGAGAGTTACGTTAAGTAGTCGACAATCAGTCTAAAACTTGTCAAATAATCATGACATGAATCATTTAATATATTGTGTTAATATTAGGGCGTTCCCTAGAAGCAATGTGTTGTATGACCTGAATACAATCAGAAGTGTGCAAGGGCCGTTGGACTGACGCCCGGGTGTAGTGTTAAATATGCAAGGGTTCTCACATCATGGACAGATGTAGGCAACGAAGCTAGTCCATAAAATTGAAATTATGATAGGATCTTGGAATATAGGTTCTCTTACAGACAAATTAATAAAATTAATAAATATTATAATTCATATAAAGATAAATATTATATACAATCAGGAAACTAAATGGGTTGGAAAGAAAGCTAAAGAGACTGATAGTTTAGGATTTAAACTATGGTATTCTAGTAAGAGTCGTACAAGAAATGGTATATGTGTGATTATAGATAAGAGTTTGAAGGATAATATTGTAAAAATTCATAGAATTAGATAAAAAATTATAGTCGTAAAGATTAAGTGCCTACGCTCCTTAAGTAGATTTAGATATGTGTTCAAAATTAAAATTTTAGAATGACTTGAAAGAATTAATACAAAATATATCTCTATAAGAAAATTTTTATTATAAGAGATTTAAATGGATATGTTGGTAGAGAGGTAGATGATTTTAAAAACATTCATGCTGGTTATGAGTTTAGAAAAATTAATGAAGGTGGTATGATTATATTAGATTTTTCTATAGCTTATGACTTTGCAATTACGAATACTTTATTTAAGAAAAAAGATGTACATCTGGTCACTTGTAAAAATGGATATAGTAACACTCAGATTGATTACTTTCTTATAAGAAAAATAGATCGTTTAGATTGTAAAGATTATAAAGTTATTCAAAATAAAATTTTATGTACCCAATATCGCTTATTGGTTTTGGACGTTAAGATGAAGGGACAACAAAATATAAAAAATAAAGTAAAATATTATTCTAGTATTAGATGGAGGCTTTTAAAGAATATTAATAAAAATATTTTTGAAAGTAAAATTCTAAATCTTAAGATTTTGTTTATGCATGAAGAAGATAATGTTATGTGAGAAAAAATAGCTATTGATATTAAGAATGTTGCATAAGATGTGCTAATAATATCAAAAGAAAAAGCTCATAATAGTAAAAATAGTTTATAGTCGAATCAAAATGTACATGAAAAGATAAAAATAAAAAGATATATTATAAAAATTAATTTATATGTAAAAACTCTGATAATTGAAAAAGATATAAAGATGCCCATAAGGAGCCTAAAAATACAGTATGTGATGCAAAGATTTTAGCTTTTAATGATTTATATAATAATTAGATACTAAGAAGAGCGAAAGATATATGTATAAGTTAGCCAAACAAAGATATAGTAGTAGGGATTTGGTGCAAGTGAAGTGCATTAAGAATGAAAATAAAAAGTACTTTTTATTTGAAAAAAGATATTTAACAAAATTGGATGAGATATTTTGTTAAACTTTTCAATGAAGATTATGAGAATACGATTGAGTTTAGTGACCTTAACATCCTACATGAAAATAAAGATTTTTATTTTTATCAGCATATTAGTAAAAATCGAAGTTAGAGATGATTTAAAGAAAATAAAATGTGAAAAACTTGGACCTGATGATATTCCAATAGAGGTGTAGAAATGCTTAGGAGATGAATTAGCTTACTATTTTGAAGACTTGAAAGATGTTAGATGAGTAGAGAATGAGTGTGTTGATTCATATTTTTTAGAATAAATGTGATGCATAATATTGTGTGAATTATATAGGAATTATGTTAATGTGTCATACTTTAAAACTTTGGAAGAGAGTTATGGAGCATAGGTTACGACGTAATACTAATGTTTCTCAAAATCAATTTGGATTCATGTCAGGTAGGTCTACTATAGAAGCTATATATTTATTGAGAAGTTTGACGGAGAAGTATAGAAAGAATAAGGAGGGTCTTCATATGATATTTATTAATTTAGAGAAAGTATATGATGAAGTTCCAAGAGAAGTGCTATGGAAAGTTATAGAAAAGAAAGGAGTAAATAATGTTTACATTCAGGTCATTAGGGATATGTATATAGGTGTTGTTACTTATGTTCAAACACAAGGTGGTTTGACCAAGTATTTTCCTATTTCTATTGGATTACATCAAGGATCAACCTTAAACCCATATCCTTTTGCTTTAGTCATGGATGTTATCACTAAACATTTACAAGAGGTTGTACCCTAGTGTATGTTTTTCGCTGATGATATTCTTCTTGTTGATAAAATTAGAGAGGGAGTTGAAGGTAAACTTGAATTATGGAGGTCAACCTTAGAGTCTAAAGGTTTTCGTTTGAGTAGATCTAAAACTGAATATATGAAGTGTAATTTTAGTAGTAATAGATATAGTGGAGGGTTTGTAACTTTGGGCGATCAAGTCATTAATAAGAGTACATGTTTTAGATATCTTGGTTCTATTGTTCAGAGTGATGGTGAAATAGATGGGGATATTATTAGTAGAATCAAGTTGGACGGGTGAAGTGGAGGAATGCGTCAGGCTTGTTATGTGATAAAAAAGTTCACCTTAAACTTAAGGGAAAATCCTATAAGATGGAGATGGCTTGCAATGCTTTATGGCATAGAATGTTAGCCATTAAAAAAGAATCATAATATTAATTTAAGTGTTGAAGAGATGAGGATGCTTAAATGGATAAGTGGCTTTACATTTAGCGGCAGTATACAAAATGAGAAAATATGTGAAAAGGTTGAAGTAGCTTCAGCGGAAGATATGATTAGAAAGAGTCACCTTAGATTGTTTGGTCACATAAAACGATAGCCTTCTGATGACCCGATTAGGAAAGTAGATGTATTATATTTGACTTATGTTAAGAAAGGTAGAGGTAGACCAAAAAAGACTTGGTTAGAAAATATTAGAAATGACCTTTCTTTTTTAGATTTAAATGAGAATTTGACTCTTAACAGAAAAATGGAGAAAAATCAGGAGCCTGTAAATACCTCCACTATGTGCACACAAAATAATCAACAAAATTCAAAATAATTTTTCATATTTCTACTTTTTAACATGGAATCAAAGCAAGGTTCGGATTTTCTTCTTCCAATTTGTATTCTCTTTTCTTCTTCTTCCTTATGGATTCTTCTTTCTTATATTAATGTCTGCTTTCTTTGGCTTTCCTTCCCATGAATCAACTATTATGAATGATGAAAATCTGACTAAGGGAGGATTACAGAGGCTACAAGCCTCATATAGTTTGAATGAAAGAAACTATCTCAACTGATTCTAAATTGCAAAGACCTTTTAAAAATAGAAGAGAAAAATTCATCATCCTTTGGAGCTTCCACAGAACTGAAAGACTCAAAGTTTGTAATTTGTGATTGATTCTATAATCATGATGTATTAAATAACTAAACCATATGTTCCTGTCTATAGCCAAAAAAAGTTTAAGATGCTATCAAACAAACATACTCAAAAGGAAAAAGGAGTTGCCCTCATCTATGATATCAAAAATAAGATCTCAACAACCAAGTAAGATAGCATTCTGATTATTTAATCCTTTAAT